GGGAAAACTTACTTTTGTTTTCAAAGTCCAAACCCTTAAAATGTCCTGAATGTATGATGACCTTTCTTCATATCTCTGAGCTTATTTCCCATCAGAACATTCATAAGGAGGAAAAGTCCCATAAATGCAAGACACGTGGAAAAACTTTTATTTTGGATTCAGACCTTGCATGCCACCAGGAGAGCCACGCAAGAGAGGAACCTTTTAAATGTTCTGTGTGTGGAAAAAGTTTCAAGTTGAATGTGCATCTCATTACTCATCAGCGAACTCATTCGAAAAACATCATGTAAATATAGCAAATTTTCATTAATGCTTGTGTTTTTCGGTATACTAAAAATTGGGAAACAGTTACCCTTTATGTGCCAGGCATTGTGCTAAGCACTTTACATACATTCCATGTAATAATATATCATTTAATTTTCACTACACCCTTGATTTAGGCACTATGATTTCTATTTTATAGTTGAAGCATAAACAATGTTACAGCTAGTGAGTGAAGCCAGGATTCTGATTAATTACTGTTTAAATTTCATTTGTACGAGTTGGAAAATGATAAATTTTTTAAAATTCAACTTTCATTAAAATGAAGGTTGTTTAATTTTGTTTACATGGTTTCTAAGTGAATTTTAGAGAATTTATTTTTTTGCCAGTTCTGCAGATATAGTATCTAGGAAAGTTAAGTACTTTAATATCTGTGTTATACTTGTTTTTGCTATTACTCTCAATGGAATATTTGTATGAGATTGTTATTGTTTTACTCATGAATTTCTAGAAGGGTTTAGAAGCTTTTTTCCCCTTTGTGTGAAAAGTTCCCAAATGGGAGGACTAGTTGGTGTCATAATGGCTATTAGCATCCATGGTGTTCCTGTTCTTAGATCTGATGCTGTTGGCCTTTGTGATTCAAGTGTTTGCAAGAAATTTTGGCACTCTGACAATAGCCCTTCTGGTGCCTGGATTTGATCAAGGGAAAGATACTTTCTCCTCTAAGAGAATTTACTTCCAAGTTTCTACTGAAGCATATTATTACCAGCCTTGCTATTTAGTGAGCATGCTAGGCACTTTAGGTATATTATGTAATTTAATCTTCAGAATAAATGAGAAAACTGAAGCCCACGGAGGGTAAAGTCAGTACCTTGCTCAAGTCACAAAAATAGCAATGTGCTGAAGCTGGCATTTAGCCTTAGGTCTTTCTGACACTGAAGGCTGTGCATTCTGTGACACTTGTGTTATATGTTAGCATTCATTTTACATGTTAATACCACAAACACCCGAGAAGGCTGAGACAGGTGAGTAAGGATGGAGGCTACCCTGTACACATGCATCCTAGGACAGGTTCGTATTCCCTTTGTGCTTTATCCCAAGCCTGACTTACACGAATGGTTATAAAACAACAGAAAGACTCTCCAGGACTTCAAATTCAAACTCATCCCTATGATCAGAACAGAGATTACAAACTCTACAGAGTACAGTCCATATAGTTTTAGTTGGATTTTGGTTTAAAAGAAAAATTCCTTCCTCTCCAAAGAAGAGACATATAGGAATTGTTAGAGTTTAACCAAAATACTTGATAATACATAGGTCTTTAGATACTGCTGAGACATAAATATTGGAGCACAATATTGTTGTGGAATGGTTATTGTTAAAGAACCAGTCAGTCTTGTAAATATATGTTCATACAGAATTTCTCTTTAAAGCAAAATTGTGTACCTGTCAGCAAAACAGCATTTAAGTAGGCTTTTGATTGGGATGTAAGAATGGTCTTATTCTATTTAAATAGTGTATATGCATAGCACTTACTAAAATGGGATTCTCACTGGGAAACCTCATGAGCAGTAGGACTAAGTGGATGGAAAGTAGTACCTTGAAGATGTGGTCTTTCTACAGAACAGCAGAGGAGTGAATATTCAGAAATATGCTGGCTATTGCTGGAAGCTCTTAACATTGGTTTGAGGCAGGAAGATACTGTTGATTAAGGAAAATGGAAACCAATAGCCTTAACACAGCTTACCCACTCCTTTTCCCTTTTGTTGTTCTTGCTAGTTTCTTGTTTGTGGATCCAGTTGAGACCCTTTGCTCAATATGTCAAGGTCACACTTCACTCTTTGTTTCTGATGTCTCTAAAGATACAGGACACCAGTCCGCCAGGATTTCAGGGTCTTAAAAAAGCAAGATCTTGAGGTTTTTCTTTAGCAGGTCTCTTCAAGGTGCTCAGAATTGTGTAGAAAGATGGTCTCCAGTTAGATTTCTTATCAGCTGGCTCTGGATATAATGATCTTTGCTAAATATCAAAAAGCACTGTCTCCCTGTTCTGCTTCTGCCTTCGATGGGAGCAGCTGGCACAGTGCTTCGTCAGCACATGTTAGAGGCTCTCATAGTTCAGTTGACTGAAGAGTTAGTTGGAGAAAGAGGCCACTAGCAGAGTTGCTGCAGAAGTAGGAAAGATCATTTGAGAAGGCGCTTGGATAGAATGGGGCTGACAAAAGATAGTAGCCATCATTCTTTCCTTTGCTCCTAAGAAAGTATAGGAAAAGGTGAGATTTATGCCAAAAATGCTCTCTGCACCTCAATATGGAAAGTCACTTTCACAATTAACTTCAGGTTTTCTTTATTTTCCAGATTTTAGAAGATTATGCCAAATCTCCATAAGATTAGAAAAATAGCACTTTTACAAAAACATTAATATAAATATGAGTGTAATTGCCTCTTTGATAGTGTTAATGATTGCCATGCAGAAAAAATTTAAAGCCCTGAGTGTTACTGTGAAAGGCATATTTTCAGTTGCTGCCATATTGTATACTTACACCTAAACCTTGATGTAATTCAGGCTGCTCTGAGAGCCCAAGTAGTTGAAAAGGTCAGTGTCCACCAGTAAGCTCCATGCTGTTTTTTCAATAATTATAGCTTTTCACCCTCCTGTTTACAGTATCAACTGATGAAGATAGGTTCCACACATTGTCAGAAGTATTAGCCTACCATGTTAGTATGAACAAATACTGGATAAAAGTTAATATAGGCATGAAAAACTACATGCAGGAGCTTATTGGTATGAATGATTGGTTCACTACATTTGTTGCAGCATGGATGTTGACACACTATGCAGAGTGAAAACTTTGTACTGAAGAAATTGGTGAACAAATTTCTTGTTTTTTGTTGATGCAGTGTTGAAAATGTGTACCAAACAAGTTCTTAATGTGATTGCCAGAATATTAGGGCCTGTAATAGCCATCATTGATGAAAACAGTATTACTCCAACAGAATTCAGGTGTCAGCGGTTTACATTTTGTAATTAAATTATGGAATCTAGTTGTTACTCTTGAAACAGTTGGACTCAAAGTTTTGTTTAGAACTTTGTTGTAATAGGTAATAGTCTATTTGCATCTCCCCATTTAACATAGAAAATGACTAACTCAGTAATTCAGGGAGTTAAAACTAAAAGCAAATGACATTTCACAGTGAATGCTGTTTTGAGTCCGACTCCTGATAATTGGCACTGATGTAATGAGTGTAGCATGTCATACAGTCTGACACAGATTTTGCTCAAAGTAACCTGCAAATTCACTGCACGTATGTACAAAGTAGGTTATAGTTTATCTGAGCAGTCTATTTTGAATTGTTCATTAAACTTGTTATCCCTATAGAATTTCAATAAGAAAATGTTTTTGCTTTGACCATCTGTTTAAAAAGTAACTAGAAGTGTGTATATTCATATTTTAGTTTTGTAGATTGAGAGTGCTATTGATCTGATTATAGTATGACTCCCATCTTTTCAGGCCCATTTGACTTCAGGTGTTTTGTCTTTTATTTTTTGACATCCTACTTGTATTAACAGTCTGGGGAGGGTGGGAATATGACCTAAGTATATTTACAGAAACCTGAGAATATACTGCAATCTCTAGTTCGTTCGGATACCTCAGAAGTATGTTTATTTTGAATGCACTTGTACTGTTTATGTTTTTACTGGTTTTGATGTATTCTCATCAAACTTAGCTCTAGATTTCAAGCTCTTACTAGGCAGTGATAATGTCTTTCTGATGTACAATTTGACATCTAATAAATGCTTTTTTTTATGATGATGGTAATGAGTTGGAACTTTTTTTTTTACACAAGTGATTTTCGATGGTAATTACGTGAATTTTGAAGACTTGCGGGATTGTGATTTGGAGAAAGTGACTTCGAGCCATTTAATAATGGCGGTAAAGTCGTTTGTTCCCCGTAACTCAAGTAAATTTCAGCGCAGTTCCGAGAGACAGCACTTGACCTTTAGTTCCCTTCCCGTGTTTGCCCGATGGCGGAGGTACAGGACCTGGTTCCTCCAGGTACGAAGGGCAGCGACTGCCCGCTTGGGTCGCCGCGTGGAGCAGGGGGTGGGAGGTGGGGATGAGCTGAGTAGCGTACTCTGAAAGCTTGGCACAGGCTGGAGCTGGAGAGGTCCCCCAGCCCACGATCTTCCTCTATCCCCTCATGCCGGCGGAAATGTCAACGAGATGAGATGAGGTGCGCTAGAGCGGCCTGCAAAGCTAGGAACCGAAAGTCATGCGCTCACTTCCGGCTCCCTCCTCGGGAGGTTCCGCTAGCAGGCTCCACTGGGCTCCGACCCCCATCACCCTCCTGAGGCTGTCTCAACAGAAGTCAACCGCGAGGGCTAAAGCGTTTGCCGAGGGGTTTCCTCAGCCCTCTTTCTGTGCATCAGCGGGATGGTAACGCTGGTTTGACTGTCGATGGCCAGCCCGAATCCGTCCTGCAACTGTAGGCACGGAACCGGAGAAGGAATCCTGCACTACCTGCTGGGCCCTACCCACGCTTTGGCAATGCGAAGCTGCCTGTGTGTCTCTGGCGTGTTGAAAGGCTTGTTGCTTTGTGCTTCTCAGTTGCCCTGGGTGGAGTATCTTCTCTCTAGAACCAGCGCCAGCCTCCTCATCTGTTTTCTGTGTGCCCCGCAGCAGAATTCTAACATGCTGCTTGTGTATCTTGGGCTCTTCTGAGTATATGGTCCCCCGCCCCCATTGAACTTAGCCATTTCCATGACTACAAAGACTTCACTTTATATCTAGCCCAGATTTCTCCTCCCCTGCTCTCTAGATCTCTATATTCAAGTGCCTACGAGAGATCTTACTTTAGATGTCTCTGAGGCATCCAAACATGCCCCAAATCGAACTCATGCTTTTAAGCCCATGATTTGTTTGCCTCCAGTGTGAGGCGCCAAATCCACACAATTGCTCACGCTACCAACAACAGTCCATCTTCTTCCAATACTCATCCATTCCATCAAGTCCTGTTGCTTCTCAAAAATGTCTCTCAAACCTGACAACTTCTGCCTCCACTGTCTCTACCCTATTTAGCAGTACTCACCTGGGATTACTGAAATAGCTGTTTATCCTGTCATACCACTCTTGTTTTCTGCCAGCACAACCAGCACATCTGATTATGTCACCATCCAATGTGACATCTTCCACTGGCTTCCCATTGTCTGATAACGTCCAAATTTTTCAATACAACAGAGGAGAAGACTTGAACAAATTGGATCTACATCTTACTGCCTTGAACCTTCTGGGAGTTAGTGTTAGTATTCATAGTAGCTTACATCAGTGGCCCAGAGGGTACCTAGCCCAGTAACATCATTGCTGTGCTGTTTCCACCCTAGAAGTCCCCTCAGGGACAAGGGCCCAGGGTGGGCAGAATGGTGCTACACCACTAGGCTGCCCAGGAAATTCGAAGAGAGGGAACTGCTGACACCTTGAATACCATGGAAGACAAAGGACTTAGCCAGCAGGTCCACATTTCAGTTAGAAGTGTCATTTGACTTATTTGACTCATGAGCCCATCCCTAAGCTAACCACTGTGGCCATATAGAGCAGACTGGCCAGGCCTGGTTTGCATGTCTCTCCTGGAGCTGTAGTTGGGGTCAGCCCCAGCAAAATCACATGGCTGAAGTGTGATGGAAAATGTAACTCTCTAAGGGTTACTTAGGATACTGTAAGAAGAAGAGAGGTTGGGTGTTGGGGTCAAAAGTAACATAAATCAAAGTAGATAATCAGATGATTAGAGTAGTGAAGAAAATGGCTAGCACTAGTCAAGTACTTCTTATGTGCCAGGCCCTCCTGTGCTATACACTTTTCCTGGATCATTTCACCATTATCATCATTTTACATATGCAGAAAATGGGACTGGATTGTAGGATATGTTGGGAAGTAGGAGTCTAAGATGCTTTGTCGAGAGTGTGCTGTAAATTCACCCAGCTTCCTATGTTTTGTGCAAACACCAGAAAATGACTGAGTCTCAGTTTTCTCAAATGCCAAAGACTAATCATGTAGTCCACCTCAAATCGTGTAAGAGTGAAGGGAGAGTCTGTGAGGTGTATCTCTGAGGAATAATTACTGTCATTGAGTGACTGTGCTGACAGGAGAATGCTGGAGCGCCCTGACCTTCTTTTTTCAAGTTCAGCCTTCCCCAGTCATTCATATTTCAAGATGACTGTTTAAGTTTCTTTCTTAGTAGTCATCATTGCAGTTTCATATTTGTTTATTTTATTCATGTCTATTTCCCCCTTTAGACTGGGCTTTCTAAGATAGCATGCACATTGTCTGGTCTCACCATAGTACCCCAAGCACCTAATGGTGCCTGGAGCACGGTAGGCATTCAATAAATATTTGTCACAAGAGTGAACGAATTTAATGAATGAACCTTCAGGACAGCTTTTTAGCTTGAGGCCTAAAGTCCCCAGCAAGCAAGCGTACGAGACGCCTCCCAGTGGAGCGGGATGCAGTTAGAACTCCATTTCCCAGAGGGTTCCACAGTGACCCGGCCCCTCTTCACAATGACATTTATGTCAGGCAATAGGAGACAAGGCTTCCTCAGGTTGGGCGTGGACAGCCCAATCAGAGAGGAATGAACAAAGTACTTCCTGTCAAGGCCCCACCCCTCAAACTCAACCTCTACATGCAGGTGCCTGTACCCAATTCACCAAGCATGTCCCAAGCCCAGCAGAGGAGACAAGGCCCTCGGCTTTCTGCTCCTTGGGCCAGTTTGGCGGCCATCTGCATCCCAATGGACCACCCCCGGGTGAAAGGCACCCTGGTTCGGCAGTGAGACAGGAAGGCAGAGACAGGGTTTCCATGTGACCTGCGTTGTAGGGATAAATCTGCAATAAAATGTCGTGGATTGGGACCATCCGGATACATCAGACGTTCATGAAGTTGTTGTAATAGAGCTAGTGGGAGATGAGGACATGTAGTAGGGGTCATGGGAATGAGGAAGAAGGGAAGACTTTGAGACAGATTTGGGAGGCATAAGTAACGATTTGGTGGGGTGACTGGGTGACCTGAAGGTTGGTAGGTTTGTGGAGAGACCTCTTGTCTCATGAGTTTACAGTTTTTCTAAACTTTTGAGAGATGCTTTAACACAAAGGAGGGTGACATTGCAGCTATGGTAAGGGCTATAGAGAAGAGGTACATTACACTAAGAGGGATTTCACTTGACTAGGAAGGTCTGGGAACCCATTTTCTTCTGAGGAGAGCTGGGGGCTACACAATGACCTGGAGTTTATTGGTTGGGGACTTCTGTTAAGGAGATAGGGCAGTGGGCTGAAACCTCCAGTGGAGAACATTACAAGGGTCTCAGCTGACCCCATGTATCATAAGCTTTTCCTGCTCACCTCTGTACTATCTTTCCAGGGAAAAACAGCCAGAAATTGAAGGACCCAGATGCCCAACCACACTTTACAGAGAGACAGAGTGACGTACCTAGGTCTAATCCCAGCTCGTATGAGGCTGTTCCCTAAGCCCTAAGATGGCTGCAAACTGGGGTGCCCTGGACCTCCCCATCTCCCAGAACTGGAAAGCCTCCTGATAAAAGACACCACCCTGATGGGTGGGAATCCAACCTAGACATCCACGATCCTCGTCCTGAAACATTTCATGCTCATCTTGTCAGCCCAGCTAGGATGAATAGTCTTTTGAGATACAACTGTCCTATCCCCTCCACCTGCTTCAGCAGGTCCCCTACTCTCTACAAGCAAACTTCTCCATCAGAGAGAACTTTCTCCTTGGCTCCAATATCCCTTTCCTAAGGGCACATATCTGACTTCTTTTGTGATCTATAACCTCTGATTACTCCACAAAGAGGACTCTTACTGTCCTCTTCTAGAACAGAACCTCTTTCCTAGGGAATTATCCTGCTCAGTGCTGTATATGCCTCAGAACTAGACATACAGGAGCATGCTCTCCAGAGATGTCTGGATCCTCAAATGTTTTACTTCGCCTTCATCCTGAAAACACACCTCCCTGGTGGACTCCATCCCTGCAGAGAAGTTAAGACTGATGAATTTTTGCCAAGCCTTCATGTAGGGTATTCTAGAGGCTATAACATGACCCCGCTCATGCCCATCACCTTTCCAAGGTATTCACAGAAGCAAGCAGGGCCCCGGAGGTAAAGGCCTGTATACAGGCTGAAAGTCCAGCATCTTAGAACTTAAAACAATGACGACAGCCCCCAAATGAAATGTTGCACCTTGTAAAGTGGCAAGTTTCCCACCTATGAAAATATCTAACAAGATCTTGGATGACAGTCTATTAGGGTGTGGTAGAGGGATCTATGCAACAGGTAGAATATTGACAATCTTGGTTTTTCTTCCAGCAATAGGTTATGATTTTGAAAATATCTGTAAAGAGAAATGTGGGGTAGTCAGAAGCAGACTTGATCACCCTCCCAGTTTTGCTGTGGAGGGTGCAGACTTGCCCATTGGACTACACTTCTAGTGGTGGCTGGACCAGACCTATGAGAGCCAACCCGAGGAGGGACAAAGCCTCTTGAGGAATAAGGCATTTATGCTTTGCGGAACCTTTGCTTTAGAATACTAATGCTAGGGTACTCACCATGTTGGAAGCACATAACTTAGATCCTCTCATTTAAACCTTATAAAGTTGAAGGAACAGATTTGAAAGGGGAGCTAGAGCCAGGATTGGATCTAGGTCTGTCCAAAGCCAACATTCATGCACACTTGGTGCTATGCTCTGAATGTCTGTGACCCTACACCCCCACCTCAATTCATATACTGAAATCCTAACTCCCAAAGATAATGGTA